GAACTCCTGAGCTCAAACAGTCCGCCCACCTTGGCCTCCCAGAGAGCTAGGATTACAGGCGTGAGCCACCGTGCCCGGCCTATGTATTTCTTAATACTTAAAAAAATTACTAACGTCTTGCATCACCCCTTTAATATGTCCCCAGATTCTCAGTTTTAAGCTGGCATTCCCACTAAAATGTCAAATAATTCAAACCAACTTGCTGTTTAGAAATAAGATATGTAACTAACTGCAGCCAGTTGGAAATGTACCAGATGCAGCAGACTGTTGAGCAGCTCTGCTTTTTAGAAAGTTTCAAGTTTAGAATGTAGGGAACATTGGAGAATAGAGTTGGCATTTTTCAGGCTATCCAAGGTAATTTATAAGGAGAAAGCTTATGAACAGATGGAAACATAACTGAAGCTCTAATATGAACATGGCATCAACATGGAATTAGTTAACTATGTGACAGTGGATGAATTTTCTGTGTAAACTTAGACTGAACTAAGTTTAGGAACACCACACATTGGGAACTGGAGTAAGGACCAGGGAAGGTAGTAGACAAGAAGTCAGTCATAGGCAAAAAAGGCTATGTATGTTATGTAGCAGGTCTCAACCAGGGAGTGGAATTCACGGTCAACTGGGGACTTTTTACAAAATACACTTGCCAAATCTTGTATGATTAAAGTTCATTTTTAGCTGTGTGATACTATATGTAGCACTCTTAAAATTTGGGAATGGGACTTTAAAAAAATCATATATCCTAAAAACTTAAAGTCTTCTGTCAAGAGCAAAATAATGCTTCTTCAGAATTAAAGGTTGTTTTTCTCATATGATTATCTGCATAATGTTTATAAGAATAAACTTTGTAGCCATTAATTGCTGAAGAGCATAGGAAATTGACTACAAAACTGTATTTTTAAAAACACCATATTGCTTATATGTAACCAAAACTACTACTACTATTTTTTCAACAAAAGTACTACCTAAGCAAAACTACTACTTCTAATTGTTATCATCCAAGTACATGTGATATATCAGTCTCTTCTAGTTTAAGTAAGAGCATTTAATAGGAGGAATAATTTATACTAACCAGCTCTCTACCTAGAGCTATCAGTTTCTGGTTGCCAGCAATTTTATTTCTAAAATACTGTTAGATTAGAGTGGATTCCAGTATTATATCAGGTCCTGTAATGTGTATTATTTTTATAAAAACCATTAAAGGCAAGTGATAGATATAAACCATTTTCCATCCTCCTTCCTTCAATTCACCCTTCTTGTTTTGGGCAGATTTCCAGTCATGTTTGATATGTATTGCACGACGATTACCTCGGCCTCCAGCTATTACGGGTGTAGAATCCTTTATGACCAAGCAAGATACTACAGGTACTATAAACTTCAGAATGTTGTATAGGTATTAATAATATGACTACACCCTTAAAACTAATTATATCCAAAATGTTATGTCCTTCTGTTCTATAATATTCAGCCTCTGCTCCCTAGTCTTATACAGAAAACATTTTAAATGGTATTCTTTTTTGTTGTTGGTGTTTTTGAGAAAGAGTCTTGCTCTGTTGCCCTGGCTAGTGTGCAGTGGCATTTTCGTAGCTCACAGCAACCTCAAATTCCTGGGCTCAAGCGATCCTCCTGCCTCGACCTCCCAAATTACTGGGCTACAGGCACACTCTACCACACCCAGCTAATTTTTCTATTTTTTGTAGAGATGGGGTCTTCCTCTTGTGCAGGCTGGTCTCAAACTCATGACCTCAAGTGATTCTCCCACCTTGGCCTCCCATAGTGCTAGGATTACAGGCGTGAGCCACCTTGCCTGGCCTAAATGGTGTTCTTGATATTATGCATTTCAGATGCTGTAATCATTGTCATGGGCAGGGTGCTGGAGAGAACATTTTTTTATGACTATTCACATACCTATATTTGCTTGATTATAAATTATTTTTCATAATCATGGAATAAAATAATTTGGGAGGTATATAAATATATGTAGGTATAAATATATTTACTACAAATGGATATGAATATGGTGGTTTTAATATGCTTAAATGTATCTGGCTATTTCTTTTTCCCTTTATTCTTTTTCTTTGAGTTTATTTAGCACAAACTGAGTCCCTAGAAGTGCCTGTCTCTGGGTTTAAGGTATATATGGCTGAGTAAAAATCAATGGTTTAATAACATTTTATGATAGAAAAGTTATAAGATGGTGTAAGGGGGACTATATAAAATTAGCTGGCCAAGAAGGCCTGTCTGGAGCTGACAGGAGCCCTTGAGCCTCAAAGGATGAACTGGTATGAGCTATCTAAAGTATGAGTGTTGGAAGCGGGGCAGCAGTGAAGCATCTTGGTACGGAACGAGCGCTCCTCATTGAGGAAACAGAGCTGCAGAACCCCTAAGATAAATAAGACAGGTGGGAGAAGAGCTTAAAGGAGGGCAGGAGTGCCGCAAAGCGA